CAACTCAAATTACGCCAAAGGCAATCGTACAATGTCTCCTACAACTTCTCATACACATACACGCGAGGAAGTTCTCGGGTGAATCGATGAGTGTTGTCTAAAATAGTAAACATCCCGAGTTCATTTTTTTACCAAACGAGGAAGCCTATAACACGATCTGTCTAAACTATACTGTAGAGTGCAACATAAGCGTACACTTTAAAGATACTGATAGATGGCAAGCACAGCCTCCAGCAGTATGAAACTTCCATTTGACGAGGAAGTTTTAGGCGACTGTTTTGGATTGGCTTTGGCTAGGTACACGTTGCATAAGGAGTAGCTGCCTCGGCGAATGCGTCTTTCATATTGTGGAAGACTGTCTGTACATGTCGACCTGAGTTTTTTTTCTTTTTTTTTTTTCTTTTTTGAGGGTTTAAGAATGTTATGCGTTATCCACGCGTGGGTAATATTTGGAAGCCACAAGAAAAACACTACATTTTGCATGCTACATACACTCGTTCTCTTACGCTTACCTAGTGTACAATATTATTGCATGGTACATAAATACACTGCGTCTTGTGCTTTACCGTAGCCCGTACGTGTTTGACACTATCCGAACATATTACGTTATGTGCGAACGTTTAAACGCGATGCTGCTTCGTGCATTTCTTTGTTTCCAGTCCTCAGCATGCATAAACTGCTTCTTGGGCAACTCGTGTCTAGCGTGTTCTTCGTTTAGTGCCACAGTAAGATTGCTCGAGAAAATCCTCTTTCACTGACGAACCTGCGAGGGTCTCCACCGAATCTCCAATACTTATCGAAGCTGCCCGACAGCAGAGGGAATCAACCCAGATTTCCCCAAATATTCCCGAAACCGGACTTGATAGAGTTCCACACAGAGGGCGTTGCCTGCAACGACGACGGTCCAAAATATGAGCTGAAATCAGAAGGCGACAGATACCCCTGGTCCGAGAAAATCTGGAAAAGAGGGAAGTTGTTCAAAGTTACTCAGGTGTTAGATTAGGGTTCGTTGACATTCAGCTACGCGCAATGTTTGTCTTTTACAATTTTGTATTAATTTGTTTTGTTTTTTTATCGTCTCATATTTGGGTTTTAGGATTAGGCAAGTTTGCTCAGTTTCCTTGATGTCTTTCTCAATTTCTGACAAATGTTTTGCAATATTGCGGTGATATGTAACATCATAAATGACAATCATAACAAATTTCTCTAGTCAGATCTATATTTGATAGTTTCTCGTCCTTTTTACTCATAAATTTAAAAAAAATTAATTCTCGTTGTTTTGAGGTGCTAGCGTATTTTTCATGCAGTTTCGAAGTAACTGCAGTTTCGAAGCATGAAGTAAAATATTTATATTTGAATTCGTGTGCAAATTAACACCTCCGGAATAAACCGTGCGTTGCACCAGCTAAAAGAATTAACGGGTCATTATTTTAAAATTAACAAATAGAAAAGAAACACGGTTGCCGTAACCAAGAGCTGTTATGAGAAAACCCGAACGTAAAAGAACACGCATTTTCAGCGACCATGCGTGATATTGTTTCTGACTACATACGATTTTTGATACTGCATACAAACGTGCATACTAAACGCTTTCCGCTCGCTAGAAGTTATTAGTGTTCCAGAAAGCAATATAATGCGCATTAATAAAATACAAGACAGTTATGAAAAAAATCTAACAATGTCTTTTTGTTGTTTTTCTTTGCACCGCATACACGCATAGAGTGCATATTGCTGGGAGTGCAGAATGCATACAACAGTTGCGCGTTGTTAGGGAATATGGTAATACTTTAGTATATCATATGCTTTTCATTCGAAATGTATAAATTATTTTGGGAAACATTACATCAGAAAACGGCGTATTTCATTTGACGCGAACACTATTCCTCTCCATGTATTCTATCACACCATTAGAAGTTTTCTTTTATGTGGAGTGCCGGAATATTGTTTTAAATTTTTACATAAAATATATTATTTTCTGAGGTATTATTATAAGTTACAAAATCTCAAGCGTTGCATTCGTGCATATTTTGAACTCTGTAGTTTATTTATGTAGTGTGAAAATACAAGGTTCGCTTTTCTTTCTCTGTGATTCATAAAGTTCGCTAAAGCAGGGCTGAAACGTACAAAATACAAACACCAATATAATGAAGAGGACACAAACTACATCAGTAAGGCGCGCGTCATGTTTGAGCGTTACAGTGGCATTTGCTAGTTCCAAAACAAGTCCAAATGGTTCGTGAGCGTCCTACGTTTCAGGTATCAGATGCTCTGCTTTGTTCAACCTTTGGCGCACAGTGCACTGCCTAATTTTAACGCTGATGCACTTTCTAGCGAGTCATCTGCTTGGAAAATAAACGACGCTAGTACTTTACATAAATAACAAGCTGAAATACAGCCTCACAATATTAGTTCTATTTAAACGAGTTTTAATGGCCTATACTTACAACTTGAGATAGCCTAAAAGTATCAGTATTGGTTTGGTGCCATTGGTTCCGACCTTGTGAGTCTCTATGAGAAAAGAGGAGAGAAAATAGAAGGGAAAAGGGTTAAGAGTATCGCACTCTTCGGATTCGGGTTAAAGAGTTCTGAGAACGTCCAGGTCTGCCTTGATCAAACGACTATCTCTTTGAGGGAGTGCGAATCAAAACTGACGCCACAACGCTAGCTCGATTTTATTGCATTCAAATTTACATTTACACCAGCTATAACGAAATATACTTATAATTTGCCAAAAACAACTTTGACGGACAGAGAAAAACGTTTTGGGAGCATTCAATTCACACCATCGAGGCTAAGATCTCGTTCTTAGAGAACTGGTGGATTTCCGAAATCCGTAGAAAAAGCGACAGCTATTGCTACGGCTAGCAGATGACGTCAGCCTTCGGTGCCCGAGAGCCAGACCATGGCTGTGTTCCAAATCTCACCCAAATGAATACGAGTTACTCCGGCTGGTCGTGTCACGTGAAAACACAGATAAAAGTATGCTCGACGCGGGTACGTTTTCGAACGCCAATGTACAATACCGTCACCCTGGAGTAAGGTCGAGTACATTTGGAACACAGCCCCTGACGCCGCGGCTCCCTCTGCTCGAGTAGCAGATGACGGCCTTGCTGGCTCTGTTCGGAAGGAGGCAGAATGGCGGCTAGCCTTTGTGATAGGTGTGTGATTTATCACGCGCCCAGGAAAGACCAGAACACGCAGGAGAGGGCGTGCAGAAGGGTGCGTGTAGACATCAGGCAGATTATTGTTAGGAGCCTGACAGGACCACTCTAGGTGAAGTTTGATTATTCGTCGAGTAACTGGAGGTCAAAACTATTTTCACTAAGAGTTTTTTAAACTTTCTTTCTCTTCCTATTACGATAAAAAATGACAAGTATTGTAAAAAGGTGGTGAACTTGGCTAGTTGGTAAGCGTTGCATTATACATGGTTAAAGGCAGCGAGCAACGTGAGGAAACTGTAGAAGGATAAAGGAGACAAGGTACACGCGGAACTCAAAGCTCAACATTTCATCCAGAAGAGAAGAAATAAAATTACATATAGCCAACAGGCACGTGCTCATGGCACGGCAACTCTAGGGTGCGGGGCAATGGCATTTGCACATCGAAGCGTTTAAAAACAAAACTTCCTTTTCAGACAGAGTTACAGAAGGATCGCTCACGCAGTACTCCCCCAGACCTTGTATAATATACGCCTCATAAATTTCTCTGAAAATTTTTTCCTTATATCGACCTTTAATTGCGGTGCTGGACTGATTTGGAGTACATGCACAGGCTTGACAGTGCAGAGGCAAGTGGCCCCCCACTGTCGACCTCATAGACAAGTTATGTTCACGTAGCCTATCATTAATACATCTTCCTGCCTGTCCCTTATTGAAATATTGAGTTGTGAGTTCAGCGTCTATCATGTCTTCTCCATTCTTCTACAGTTTCCCCATGTTGCTCGGTGACTTGAACCATGTATACCTACGTTGTTTTTTTGCGCGCGTTCTGTTTGTTCTTAGGAAACGCCTCTTACGCGTATAAACAAACACGCTGTTTACAAACAAGTCCCCCGTTTGGTCACACCAGGTGCGAGTACTGCGCGTGCACAAAAACCAGAATCATGTGAGGTGATGCGCTGGCGCATGAGCCGACAGTAGCGCCACCACAGCAGCGTGGCGTCAGTGCCTCGTGTTGGCGTATAATAAGCGCGCGAAGATGCAGACATCGCCAGTGGCCAAGTAAACGTTCCCATATAAGTGACCTCAAAATCGTAAATTAATTCCTAAAACCACGTGGGAGCTTTCATGGTGCCACGAAAACAAGCATGTTTTGCTCTACAGTTCGCTTTTAGCTAGAAACTAGCAGCGCGGAACATGAAAACAGTTGGGATGCGAAGAACATCACACACATGCACATAGTCCTCTGCCAGAAAATATACACACATCTGGCGAACGTGCCCATATCAAAAACAAAGTTAAAAGAGGTGCATCTAGAGAAATGTGAAGAAAGAAGAGCCCACCTTCACCGTCAGCGCCCAGGAGGTATCTTGGTCGCCGACTACGTCACATCCGTTTCAAACACGTGACCACGAGAAATCGATGACGTCACAGGGGAAGGTTAGTAGCGTGCGAGAAGCAGGACCGCAGTTCAACCCAAGAATTGACGCTCCGGCTTTAGTAGACACGAGTCATACCGTCTCGAAGTAATGATGGTTTTTGGAAATAGTCTTTTTCGTTTTGTAATAATCCGATGTCCAGACACCACTAGAACTGCAACCATCAACTCAATTTCAGCGCAGTGACTGCACGGGCGGTGTTTTACCAATTTTGGTTTTATCGGTGGAGTCAGGAAGCTTAAGCGTATTAGTGCCGAGGGCAGTGTCGGTGCTTCTTCTAAAGTCAGAGCGTCACGATCAGACTCAGGCACACAGAAATACATGCACGACGTTAGGTGGTTTACCACCACCACCAGGGGAACAGTCTCCGCCAGGTGTGAGTGAGAAGAAAAAAGACACCATCGACAGTGGACGAATCATGCGTAGTTTAATGTCCACAAGGATGCGAATGAAAGGTGTTAGCAGACAGCACATCAAAAGGAAGACACGTAATCAGATCACTATGTACAGTAGTCGGTGACATGAGCCGTTTCTTCCGGACAGTGGTCAAGACGCCATACAAGGCGCTGCGGTCAAAACAGGAGCAATGGGAGGACGATCGGCTGAACTTGCTCGTTCCCTAGCTTTAAACGACAAGGCGGATTGGGTGCATAATATTTAACATTAGTTTATTTTTGTGCGATTTATTTATGATACAAGTCCTGCCAATCATTCCTTGATTCTCCCGCCATGTTGAGGATAAACCGGGTCTATGATCCGAGCCTCACGGTGCCGCCGCGACTCAGGCTGTCCATGTGGCGTTCTGACCTGTGTGAGTACGTGCTCCGACGAAGCGACTCATGTGAGCACCCATATCATCCAACGCTTCGCAAAAACAAATAATAAAGATCCACTTTAATTGACCAAGTATAACACGCCGCCACCACCACCACGTAAAGAGCGAAGCAAAAGTACCAAAGCGTAAGTATGTAAACAAATGTGAATAATGAAGTCGAATATGGTTTGTGTGTGTGCAATGTCAACATGACTGATGAATCAATAAAAAAAAAAGTTGATTTTTTTTTCACGTATTTTTCGGACTTTGTTACTTATAGAATGCACGGAAGTAAAAGCTGTTTGTACGTTTTCGTCCGCACGTTGTTCTTAGGTGATCTACATATTACCGTGCAAATACTGTCTTAACTCGAAGCTTCGGAAACGATGTCTCAAGTTGTCTAAGCGAGCGGGATCACAAAAGCCATCTAAAAACATCCAGAATACCTAGTAGCCTTGTTGAGCCACAGAACGGGCTTTTCAATCACGAAGCTATACGTAAGGCCTCTAATCTACCAGAAATTCACGCTATGTCTCGTCACATTTGAATTTGACTCACGCACGCTCTACAATGTTCACAAAGGCATATGGGACTTTTTTTTTATACAGGAGACAAGCATTTGTAGCAAAACTGTTCAAATCAAAACGCAATTTAAACAGTGGGCCGCATCTTTGTAAAATACTCCCTTCATTTGGATGATGGCATTAAAAACCCAACTGCATACTAAGAGGGGGTTAAGGCCTTGTCATGCACTCGTGCCTTTAGCCTTAGACTCCCTCTGTGGAACATGCATTCGCAGACACAAATAAAGAAGAAAAAAAACAATTGCGCATCATTTTTAAGCTAACAATTTGGTATTTTCTTAAAACTCATTAAAAAGAAGAAGAAAAGCCAAGTTTTCTAGCGGACGATAGTCCCACCAAATCCGAAAACGCCTTTCGTCGGTACTTTTTATCTATTAAAAACGCCGCTAACTCGCCCTAAATCACAGGATGAAGAATGAGATTAACTATCTAATATGTGTGCGTGTGTGTGCGCGCATCATGGGTAAATGAGTGCGCTAGCGTACGATACGCCGATGTTAGTGATGTTGGAAAGGAGACAGCTCGAATCCGTTGTCAGTGGGGAAAGGTTGCGCCTTAAAGCCATTGGGGAAAGGTTGCGCCTTAAAGCCATTGAACAACTGGCGCGGTGGGGGTACGGCGGGGTAGTCGAGTCTAAGAGACTCCGGCTTAGTCGGGTCGGTCGGAACCTGCAGTGTGGAGACGAACAGAAACAACAAAGAAAGAATTTGAACGCAGAGTCGGAACAATATTTCTGCGAGACATTTGTTCGTTTGGGGGATTTCGCCGCCCACATCGCAGAAGGTATAAACACGAGACACGGAGTGTCCAGCCTATGCATGAAACCGCGGTCGCACCACCAATGCATCGAACAAAAGACAGACTGGAGACGCTGTCTGAGGCCTGTTTCTGCCCTGTACGGCTCTCTTGTTACAGCAGTAAGAAAGTGTACAGATCCGGCCAGATAAGATAACGATCAAACAAATGGAAGTATCGGATGTCAGAAACTAGATAGCCGGATATCAATATCGTAGGTAGGATCGATGACAGAAACCGGATACCCCGATATCGGAGAACAATGGACATCGGAAACACATGTTTTGACATCCTATACTTCCATTTATTTGATAGTTATCTTATCTTGCCGGACCTGTACACTTTTCCTACTACTTGTTACATTGGTCGTACAAGGCCGCCTGTAGATAATTCCGTCGTCATATCTGAACACCGTGTCTTTTGTGTGATGTACGAGCAGTGGCCCTCCGGCTTGAAGATGTTCAGACAAAGCGATGACAAGAAAGTGGTTAAGCATATCTGCTACGAGTTTTTGCGCGAAATAGGAATAAAAACGTTTTGGCAGTAAAAGGTAGCGTTTTCGTGCGTTGCCTGAGCACACACAAACAAGATTAACAAACGAGTAAGCTTGGCAAAATGGCCAAGAAAAGAGACACGTATAAATGATGACAGTGCATTCAACTTTTGAGCAAACATGTTCGATCAGTGACAATAAAAATTTTTAAAAAGTATTTATATGAAAAGGTATACTCGTAAACTGCACGCAAGCGTCCCACCACCTGCTTTCATTTCCTGAGATTATCAGTTTTACGCTGGTCGGGATTACCAGGCATGAAAATTGAACGACAAAACGCTTCTTACAACGTCAGGTTCACTAGAAACATTATTCTAATGTGCGTGTTTTCTTTACGCTTTTTATGTGTTTTTTTATGTCAAGCAGTTTTAAAATTAGCGTCATAATCGATCATTTGTGAAAAGTGCATGGACACTGGTCTGCAGTATTCAATCCCCCCCCCCCCCCCCCCCCTCGAGGTACTACAACCCAAATCTTTACTGCTGACAGATCGTAAAATAGCGCTAATATGGATAAAACCTCACCGTTCAAATCGCAAATTAGATCCAGAAACGTCAGCGTCTACTAAGACGTGATTGTTGTACATGACAGCACAGGTGCTCGCATTCAGATCTTTGGGAATAGCAATATTCTGGGCAATGGTGAACGGCATCTCGATTTTATATAAGTTGGCATGACATGTTTCACAGCGCCCTTACTCCCCTGAGTTAAAAAAACGGATGATGTTTAGGCGATTGGCACTGTATTCATCGCGACTTCAGGCCCTCTGTATTGGAGGTACATAGTTTAGACAACGCATCTTATAAACACAAGGCATTAGCACCGCGACATAGCATCACGATGCATGCGAGGATAATAGCCTGTAAAATTCCCCAATTGCTCGCGTCATTGCCCTGCCACTTCTTCGTATATAGACAACTCCATTGGAATCAAGCCATTATGATATAATGCCTCGCTTTCAAAGAGACTCGGTAAATCCGTGAAATAATATTTCACGCCAGTGACTAGCTGATGCTTCCATTCCTGATCCAGAGCAGTGAAGCTGCGACTACCATTAACCCCACGAGACTAGGCAGTTTCCTCGTGGTGCCAGACCTAACTTCCATCACAAAGACGTTCGCGTGATGCTCCCATCCATGCAGAGGCCGAGCACGGCGTTCTTCAACGCCGCCCTCCTCGCGAAAGTCCTGCCTCTGGTCATTTCCAGAAACGTCAACGGCTACGCCCCCGATTACATCGTCAGACAGTTCGTCGACGTTGTCGTCGTCGTCGTCGCCGTAATCTGGCGGTACCTCGGCGGCGAGCGGGATGACCGTCGGGGATGGATGGGTTACCGTGGTGGGAGGAGCGCTTGGCAGAGACACCGGCTGTTGCGGCCGCGTCAACTCCACGGAGGTGTCCGTGGGGGGCTGTAGCGACTTGAGCGTCACGTTCAGGATAGAGATTTGCTGGTCCAAGACGATGAAGTCCTGTTTCGAGGTGTGGAAGCCAGGAGCCGACACCTGCGGTTGTCCAAGGAAGCAATCGGTAACAACGCCGTCGACGGGACCGCGGCGCTCGTTTTGGCCATTGTTGTGCGTCAATCAACGAGCTTCGCAAGTATATCGTGATCTACAGCTGGTGACAAATTAAGAACCCAGCAGATGCTCGCCCTCCAGCACAAGCTTACTTTTTTCGACGGCACTTCGTCGCACGTGCAGCTAAAGCCTGGAGGAAGGGCTGATGACTATAGAAATCATGCATTAATAACAAATACGACGTTGCTGCGAGTCAAATTTTAAAAGTATAACTTTCACGACACGAAATGCGAGTGATATTTTAAAAGTACAACTTTCACGACACGAAATGCGAGTGATATTTTAAAAGTAGAACTTTCACGACACGAAAAGTATAACTTTCACGATTGGCTTGGACTATTAGTGGGGAAGACATACTGGCAATCTAGTTTTAAGTAAAAGTCAAATTTGGTTGTTCTTTTTATGTGCCAAACCAACGACGGGCACCCGGCACGCCCTAGCGGATGACTGGGGATTCATTTCTACCACCTGGGGATCTTTTGACATCCAACCGAAAGCTCGGTTTACACAGCGCCTTCTCCGAAATAAGCCTTCATCAGATTGCGGGCGCCTCGGCCGGGATTCGGACCCGTCACCTGGGGATCCGTAGGCCGGCGCTTAGCCTTGAAGCCACCAAAGAGGCTAGGCGACTTAGATTGAACTCGCACTTTGCTGCACCTAAACTTGGCAAACGGCAACAGCTTCTACCCTAGAGAGCCAATCAGAAGGTCAAAAGGAGGCACGTGACAACGGATCGCTGGAGTCTACTCCTCCTGCAGAAGGCTTTAACGTTAACGAGGCTTTGCTTCGTAGTTTCGATTGGCTGCAGGGAGCCATTAGGTTCGCTATTTGCCAAGTTACACTGAAGCTGACTACAGTGGTCTGAACTACCACCCTGTTCCGAGGGCTGAGGCCGAGATCCAACGTCTGTCTTTCATATATTAATCTCCAAAACCCGCAAAACGGTGCGGTTAATGCATTTTGAAGATGAAACTATGTAACTCTAAAACCAAAACATTTGTCTTTTTTTATGTTTCTTTCGTTGGCTTTTTTTGTGTTCTTTTATTCGGAATTTACAGCCGTTTGTCTATGCTTGTTGTTCCTTCATAAAGTAAGCAGCTCCATTAAACAGGAAATCGTTTTTTTTTAACATTAAGGACACTCTGCCATCCTGTGTAACTAAAACCTAGAAAAATTAATAATTTCTATATTCCTCGTGTCCCCCGCTTCATCTGCCACAGACAAGAAAAGAGGTTGCGTACCCTCTTGGAAGTTGGGAGTGCACATGGTATTACGCCTGCTTTGATTGCCGCTGATCCTAAACTGGGTACAGTTCAACAAGTTGCCTGCCCACATACGACAATGAACCTAACGGCCTGAATAGAATTATATGCTCATGAAAAATAACTCGATGGTTAGCCAAGCTAGTGCAATGAGTCCGACATCTGACTCCGGGATTTCCACGTATCTGTCTTGCGTGTGCACGCGCGTATGGCGCCCTTGTGTAACGTAATTTCCGTAAATGTGGTAAATAAGAAATGGACTGTGTAGAACTCTTTTTTCTCCTTTTTCGTTTTTTGGGGAAGGGTAAAAGGGGGGGGGGGGGGAGGGGAGGGCTGGGTGCATGGCTTCGGTTCCGTTCATTTTATGTTATCCTAATATCTCGGTAACGCAAGTTAAGTTACGTTGCAACGTTCTGAGTAGGAAAATGCAATATAGTAAAAGCTTTCACTATACCAGAAGCGGCCGGTTGTTCACTAATAGTAAAGGTAAAAAGTGCAGAATTCTCTCAACCCTTTCTAGAAACCAGAGCCGGCTTGCTAGAAACAGCATCTCAGCTGGGACTGGGTGAAAGAAAGCACTGGCAAAGCCAGCGCACGAGCTGAGCGGTACTCAAACCGCGTCTCAAGACGCTCGCGCCCCAGGCTTTGCAGTGCTTTCTTTCATCCAGTCTCAGCTCAGATGCTGTTCTAGCAAGCCGGCCCAGACTTCGGCAATTATTCCTTATTTTTTTATTCTTTCTTTTACCGATCAGGTCGGGAGGTGGGCAGAGACTAAAGGCGTGATGCCTGACGAGGTCTCTGTCCCCCTTACAGCTCTAGCACAGCATTGTAAAATAGTGCAAAACGTTCACGCAAAAACGTACCGTCAACACAACATGATGTAAGCACAGGTACATAAAAACAAGTAAAACAAACAACCACACAACGGTTTGGTCAGAAAAGGTTAAAAGTCTTAGCGAAATAAATAAATACCAAATATCAAATATGATTTATGAAATTGCATAGGTTCCCTAACACAGTGTCATGCCCACCAAGATTTCCTTTAGCTTTTTTTTTTAATTGTAGTAGATTATATTTAAAATCAATTAGTCCCTTTGTATTTTTTTAAATTTTGGCGACTTGAAAACGTTTTGTTTGTCTCCCGTAATCGGTGCGTATTTTAGGAGGTCTTCTATGGGTTTGTCGAAGTGTGTAATGTTTACTGTCATCTGGCGAAATCATGAAAAGGTTTTCGTTGTGTATTTTTGTAATAGGTTAAAATAATAGATTTGATTGACTTTGAGTAGGCCATGTTTATTGAATAATAAACCGGTGGGGATACCTTGGCCGTTACCTTTATGGTTTTCAAAAAGTTGCAGAACTTTTTTCTGTAGGACGGCCAGTGTATTATAACCTGTGGTCGATGTCGTTCCCCAAACTAACATAGAGTAATGAAGTTTTGAGAAAAATAGTGAGTAACAAAAATTTTCACAAATTATGTTTTTTAGCCAAAGGGTATAAGATTTTGTATCTTGTATATACATTCAACGGCTCTAGATAACTCAGTGCTTAGTCTATTTATGTGAGTATTACAATTTAATTCGCGATTGAACCACACGCCGAGTAATTTTTGTTCGCTAACCTCCTCTATAATCTCATTTTTAAGACATATAGTCACCTTAGTGTTGTCGAGTTTATTTACAGGACAGAAAATTATATATTTTTGTTTTCTTTGCATTTAGCTGTAATTTATTGTTTTGAAGCCATACTGAGAGATGCTTCAAGTAGCTATTTGTCACTGATTTGGGAATGCTTTAGAATCTGGAGTAAAAAATGCATTAGTATCGTCCGCGTGCATGACAAGCTCAGGGGATTTTAGAACATTTGTGATATCGTTAACGTAAAGAAGGAATAATAAGAGTCCTAGTACCCGCCTGTGGAACCCCGTGCTTAATTTTGAGTATAGTTGAAGAAATGTTACTGGTGTGTACGAACTGCGAGCGATTTTCAAGGTAGTTTTTTTTTTTTTTTTTTTTTTATTAAGGTCAGGGCAACCCCTTGTACGCCATATTGTTGAAGTTTGATTAGTAGTATGTCGATTTTAATAGTGTCGAATGGATTTTTCAAATCTAGAATTAGGCCTAAGGTGTACAGTTTATTTTCAATGTTATTTATAATTTTATCTTTCACCTCAGCTAGTGCTTCTTCTGCTGATGTTGATTTTTGATAGCCGTTCTGACATTTATTTATTACATCGTGTTTAGACAAAAATCCCTCTAGCCTAATGTTTAGAACCGCCTAAAATATTTTTTGAGAAAATAGGTAAAACCGAGATTGGTCTGTAGTTCTGTAGAAGCTGTTCTCCTGCTTTCTAGATCGGGGTAACTCTCGCAGCTTTTTGTTCGTCTGGAAATATACCAGTTTCTAAAGTGCGCTTTATTATGTGTATCATTTATTATGTATAGGGGCGAAGGGGGGGGGGGGGGGAGTAAAGCGTTCAGAAGTGTAGAAGCACCGTCTGTGGACAGTTACGCAGCTGATGTGATCTAATAACGTTGCTCGAAGCTGAACGTACCTCGAGGGTGTAGCGACCCGGCCTGAGGATCCTCCAATACTCTCCTCTGGACGTTGTCTTGAAGCCGATGCTACGGTTGGAGATCTTTAGGAACGCCTTGACCACGGGATTGTTCTCCTCGTCCGACACAATGCCACGGACGCCTACGAAATCGCGTACAGTTGTCAAGGCGCGAGACGTATATGCACAACGCGTAGCACGGCCCGCCAGGGGTTTTAACATGGGCTCTCGACACAGAATTATCAAAGGAAGAGAAAGCGTATGACGGTTTCACTGCGAGAGCTTTTTAAGAGGATTCTAAAGGCCCGTTCACACACGCAGCGGAGCGCTACGAGCATAGCGATGACATCGCACTAACTGCGTGCTGAATGTAGCGTTCACTAGTCTTGTATCGCACCGTCAAGACTGTTGCTCATGGCAGGCGATAAGAAGCTGACGACACGTGAGCAGCGTTGCATCGGAGCTTCGCTGCATGTGAGAACCGGCCATAACTTCAGAGTGAGACGCATCATGGCAGGTTAACACAATTAGCTTTCAGAAACATGAGTACTCTCAGCAACCGTTGAACCTTCGTGTGATGTGTGCGCCTTGGTTTCCTGCTCGTTACTATACCGTTTTTACAGAATTTGTGCATCAACCGTGCGCACCCCCCCCCCCCCCCCCCAAAAAAAAAAAAACTCTGGATTTTTTACGCTAAAAAGGGAGTATTCTTTGGGCGCCATATTTGAGTACGATGTTCACTGTGTATGCCCCGAACGAGCGCACACTTGTAGGTTGCCAAGACTACTAATCGTGATTATGTAGAATCCACGTTGCAAAACAAAACAAAAAACAATAATAATAAATATTGGCTGTTCGCCAGCTGCAGCTACGGTCTCAGCTATGGCCCCTAGGATAGTGAATACACCCAAAGGAGTCATACTGCCCGTCTTTACAGCTATAATGGCTGTATAGAGTTCCATAAAACCGCAATCATACTAAAGATCAATTTTGTGAGAAAATTGATCTTCCCACAACATCTGTAAAAAATCTCAGAGGATTTCTTCCTTTTTCAAATGTGATTGCTTAGTTGTCATGTTTCATAACCTTAATTTTTGCTAAATTGAATAATGCTGTGCTTGCATGTACTTGTGTACTTTGTTTTTGTTAGACTCTTGCATAGTCGCACCTTTCTTGTAATATTGTCCTGTTCTCATCTGAAATTGTTAGCTTTTCTCTTGGTTTTCTTTTTGGGTTACTTGTTGTGCCACTGCTGCCATATGTAAGGAAGGGGGGGGGGGGGGGGGGCGAGGGCCCGTCAAGCTGCATGATGCAGCTTTTTTCCTTAGTCTCCCTCCGTCATTTGTGTTTTGACGGAAAATCACCATCACCATCACCATCATCACCATCACCACCACCATCATCATCATCATCATCACCATCATCATCATCATCATCATCATCACCACCACCACCACCACCACCACCACCATCATCATCACCACCACCACCACCACCACCACCACCACCACCACCACCACCATCATCATCATCATCATCATCATCATCATTATATACCATACAAAAGACACACTGTTCGCCGCAGACACGATGAAAACTTCATCTGTTATGAAGATATGTCCGCAGAGAGTATGACAAAGATAGCAGGACCATCACACAACAGAAAGACACGTCACAGATAGTGTCTATCCAGACCGCATCTTTTGTACGACGTATCAGAAGCATTACGAATGTAGCCTGCCTGGCCCTGGACGTATGTGAGCGCATCTCACTCGTGCAAACGGAGAGATTCGGATTCTCGCTCTAAAGTGCGCGATGATGCAGTCGGCAACCATAGGGTACCTTTGTGGGCTTCGCCCAGGAAAGCAAGCAAGGACTGCTTGTTGTCCTCCCAGAAGCGGGGAAGCTCTCGTCTCAGCGGGTACTTGCAGCAGGAGATCTCAAACGTCACCTCCATGCAGCCTTCCCAGACGTAGTTGTAGTCCTGCATGCCGCCTACAAAAACACCACGTTGTAAGGAACTTGGACCAGGCGACAGAGCCCGCACAATGCCCACCTGCGAGCGGGTACCAGGCTGCTCCGTTGGTGGTGCCGTTGGGGAAGGATTGTCGGTCCGACGAACAGGGCGCCCCCAGGTACATGTTGGCGTGGTTGAACGAGTACACGCTCGCGATCTGCTTGAACACGTCGTCGTCGGGCGTCAGCGACGGCTTGTTGTACTGGTGGAACACTGCAGGAAGAGGAAAAAAAAAACCTCGAGCGTGCGAACACGCGGAATATGGACCTCAATTCTTCCTGACTACAGTGATTGAGGTCTTTTGCGTCTAAACATCACATCAGTAGCCAAGGTTACAGTCAAGTCATTCCAGTCTCTGTCGCTTCATAAATATACCCTCGGAAGGCAGAGTATATACACCATGAACATTCCAGGTAATATAGTTAGAGGACGTTTGTCCACTATTTGCTCGCACAAGTTTCCGAGGACGTTTGCTACAAATCCTCGGTTTTTCGAACGTTCTTCAATGCCGCTCTCGAAATTGTATAGAACTTATTAATATGGTAGTTGCGGGGTTGTAGCTATAGTCACTGACAGCACTCAGGGTGCGGCGCATTATGATTACGCTTCTTGCTTCCTGATTGTATATTGGGTGTTCTTATCAGCTGATGCCCCAACCTGATTGGCTGCGGAGCTGTAATGAGCTGCTCGGGTCTCGCCACGCCCGAGTTTCATAATTTGTTAGAGACCATGAAAGCTGCAATATCTCGTCCGCGGATGTTTTGTGTCTGCATGCTCGTGCTGGTGCGTGTGTGTGAGCTTTGAAATTTGTTTTGTAAGATTTGTTAGTCCTGAAATTAGTTTTGTAAGATTTGTGAGTTTTTTTATTAGTTTTGTGATAGTTGTGGGGTTTGAAGATAGTTTTTCTCGTGAGATTTGAAGTTAGTTTTGTGAGATTTGTAAGGTTTTAAATTAATTTTGTGATTGTTGTAAGGTGTGAAATTAGCTTTTTGTGAGATTTGAACATAGTTTTCTGAGATCTGAAATTAGATTTGTGATAGTTGTGAGGTTTGAAATGATCTTTTTCTAAGATTTGAAAATAGTTTTGTGATAGTTGTGAGGTTTGAAACCAGCTTTTTGAGAGATCTGAAATTAGTTTTGTGAAATTTGTGAGGTTTGAAATTAGTTTTGTAAGATTCGCGATGTTCGAAATTAGTTTTGCGACAGTTGTGAGGCTTGAAATTAGCTTCTTGTGAAACTTTAGAATTATTTTGCGAGATTTGTGAAGTTCGAAATTAGTTTTGTGATTCTTGTGAGGTTTGAAACTAGTTTGTTGAGAGATTTGAAATTAATTTTGTGAGATTTGTGAGGGTTTTAAATTAGTTTTTTCAGAGTTGTGAGGCTTAAAATTAGCTTCTTGTGAGACTTTAGAATAGTTTTGTGAGATTTGTGAAGTTCGAAATTGATTTGGTGATAGTTGTGAGGTTTTTAAATTCGCTTTTTAGTGAGATTTCCGATGTTTGAAATTAGTTGTGTGGTTTGGAATCCAACTTTCTTTTTGTGATTGATCGGTCACTGAATACAGGACAAGCTCACTAGCCTCCAAAGTATAAGGTTTTTTTTCTTCCCTGCCTTACCGGCGTTTGGCGAGTTGTCGAAGGGGTAGGAGGCGACCACGGCTCCGCCATGGATGTTCCCCGAGAGTACGAAAGGTATCTGGTGGATCCAGCGACGCACTGCCGTGGTTTCCGGCTGCTCGCTCTCCGTCTGAGTCTTGAAGTGGTCCGGAAAGTTGCGGTTCAAGTCCACTCCACGGGCGTTGTACCTGCGTAAGGAGTGCAGGTATGTGTTATTTCTATTCATTCGGTCAGCTTTCACAGAGCCCATTGAACATTATCGTAGATGGTGAACAATAATGATAACCATTTGTTTCCACTTGCCGCACCTTTTTTCTTTTTACTTTTAAACGGTTTTAACAAAAATAGAGCTATAAAGCTCCGCATCTTGCCACACTATTTGAACACCATACTTGTGTGAGTTGTTCGCTTTAATAAGACGCCGTTAAGAGAAGAATAAGCGCACAACTTATGCTACTGATTGTACTGTCGCTACTGTATAAAACATTAAACTAATGGGTCTTCTGGGTGTCTTCGATATAATCAGTGGCATCTAGTACATGAATTTGTACATGTAACAATCCAACTAGCGTTCAGCATGAGCATGCAACCTAAATATCAAGTTAAATACGTGCCATTGAGTTACGACTGAATCATACGGGTACGATCTAAAAAAAGCCTTTGCGCCTACTTTCCCGAACACCAATCGGAGAGCCAATCACCGAAACTTATGGAGGTACCTCAGCAAATTACGATGCCGAAACATATGTTTAGACCAAAAAAACGCTGTTTGAGTTGTGACATTAAGCAATGCAAGCGTAACTTTTGCATTGCTTAATGTCACAACTAAGACTGCGTTTTTTGGTGTAAACATAGGTTTCGGCATCGTCATTCCCTGAGCTGCCTCCGTAAGTTTCGGTAATTGGCTCTCCGAGTGTTGTGCGAAAAAGTAGACGCACGTTTTTTTTTGGTGTGTTTTTTTAGAGTAGTCTAGGCACACCATAAGCTGGCACACCTGCGCAGTACACAAAACAAAATACTATAGGACAACAAAAAATAAACAGGCCAAACAGTCAACCGTTTTCTACAAACCCTACAAGAGCGTGAAATTTCTGCTCTGCCTTTGAGAGAGTGATTATTGCCCTCTTTCTTTTTGGTGAATTAGTAACACAGGGTAAAGTATGTATTCGCCTTCGAACCTATCGACGTGCAAGATCTCCGTTATATAGCATATTTTGTTGAAACCCGTCCAAAGCATTACCGAACATGTATTATTAAAATAGAAATGACTCGACACGAAAAGCCACCCTGCAATATTTTTAATATAAATATTTATACAATTTCAGTAGAAAACCTTGGACGTTCGTCGTGTTAGACAGCGCCACTAGATCGAAGTAATCTTAGACCTACAACCGAGCTTGCTGTGAACTAGTTTCTAAACTAATACTCAGTATGTGGGCATCCGAAGGATTACAAAAAAAAAAAGAAGCTGCCATAATGGCAGAATAAGTAAAGTAACTGTTGACTTAACCTCAGCTAGCAATGGTAGGTATACGCTTCGTTTGTACCACTCCAACGAACAAAGACACGAGTAAACATGTCTTCTGCTTACCCAACTTCTGCTGCCAACAAAGAATGAACAACGCAATTAAATTCCGAGGACACACGAAGTAGTACCAAGCGCTAGAAGAAAGAACAGAAACACTTTCCAAGCACATCGAGATAGCGCAATGTGTTTACGTTGAAAGTACACGACTTCCTGCTTGTTTCGCGCATAACTGTTGTCGGCACCACACTTTGCGGATGACAATGCATGCAATATGCCACATCTTACGAGGTAATACAGCGTCACTGTTGCACCATTAAAACATCAAAAGATTGTGCAAAGTGCGTTTTTCCTTCTTTTTTAAATGACAAGTTTTTTTGTTTTTTGTTTTAATTTAGGCAATATTTTTGCCGACCTCTGTGGTCGACTGAAAGCAAAGGTACGCCCAACACGTTACAGCTCAAATTTCACTTGTTTTCGCGTGGCCGTTTCCCCACCCTTGCCCACTGGAAAATCAACAAATTTAGTCGACCTAACTTCCCATCGATGTGATAGATCCGTCTCGAAGGATTTGTAGAACAGGAACCAAATTCTCCATAGCACCATCTATTGTCTTGTTCTTCTTAGAAGAGGAAGACAGTCACAGGGTAGTCACCCCGTTGTGGGCATATCGAGCCCGTCTTTCTTCTGCAACCACACGCTTGTTACACTTTTAAAAAAATATATTTATCTTTTCTGAATCTGCCTCAAAGGTGCACATTTACGAGACCCCAGGATATCACCACTGAGTGGTAGCAGATCTTTCTTTTGGTACACGAACTGGATACCTAATGGCTATAATCACGCCATTGTGTTTTAAGGGTGATTGACTGTGCGTTACAACCAATTACGACAAGATAAGACACTGGCGCCATCTATCGGACAGCCCTGGAACACTTCCGATCCGCGCATTTACGCAGCACCCTTTCACCGTGGGCGTGAAGATAACTCTGAAAATGTGATGACTGACCATTTCTCATGGCCAGCGATCGGGGTTAGGTGGTTTATTGGGCGCTTTTGCAATTCGAGCTGCGAGGCGGCGGAGGAAAGCGCCGATCGTCTGCAAGTGCCTCCGCCTTTCCGCCTTCTTTCCTCCTCGCCAAGGAACAACCCGTGCGGATGCGCACTTGCGACAAATCTCCACAGGAGGCGTCCTCCAATAAATGGCAAACGCTCCCCACGGTTTCAGTTGCACGCTTTCTTCAATCTAGGCTCTCATGCGTTCTCTCGTCGCAAGCGATAACTATAATGGTTGTACGATGGTCCCCCCTCAAACGCAAACGTGTGAACTAGAGCCTTTACATGGCAAGCAGCCGCGAAGACGCCACGGCTCAATACGCACCGTCCGAGGGTGCCCGTGCAGGCGCCTTCCTTGGAGATCTCGTAGCCGTCCGGGTTCATGCTGGGCATGATGTGGATGCGCGTGTTGTCCAGCAGGTAGCGCACGTACGCGTCCGTATTGTACCGGGTGAGCAGGTGCGCAATCAGGTACACCATCAGCTGCCGGCCCACGGCCTGCGAAGAGCGCCCACACACCGGCCACCTTATCGACGGGAAATATAAAACTGGATCACATCCATTCTTTAAGGTTTTCGATAGTTTTCAACTAATTCTCGCTCAAACTGCTTGCACATTATACAAAAGACACGATGACAAAAACTATCTGCGGTCCCGCCTGAAGCATGCTCAAAGCTCGTTTGCTTCAGGCATGCTTCGAAGATCTCTTCAGACAGAAGTGTCAGAAGGAAAAAACCCGCATCACCGCATCAGACAGTAGGATGCATCACCAGTATAAGCAGTGTGACTCCGGCTTTAAGACGGGGTCACACTGCTCATGCAAAAGGCAGTCTGCAAACAGATTCGAATGCGAGTCACTGCGAGACCCACGCTTTGAATGCCGCATGGCAACGAATTCGAGGACAAACTTGGCACGCGGCATTCGAGCCAAGGGTGTTGCGGTGATTCGTGTTTGCAGACTGTCTTTTGTATGATGTATGAGCAGTGTGACCCAGCGGCTTTATAGGGTTTTCAATTGTGCGTCGGCAGCTTAGAGGCTAAGGGGGGGCGCAGCGGATTCCCCCCTACTTTTGTTACACATTACCATCTACTCTTTCCTCAACCTACTACAACAACTGGTTCGGGCAACCCTTTAGGTCTTCCCATCACTTCTATCTCTTTTTATAACCCTCTGCATCTCTTACACTAAACTAGTGCAAACATTAATAAAAGAAAATCTTTAGCAAGTAGATGAACTTCCTTCGTCACATCGTGCATTGAGATATGCCAGAAAAAAAAAACGCCTATGCTGCCAATTCGGGAAAACCAAAAATATTGTTTTTGATTCCTGCATTACTATGCATATGATGTACTAAGGTAGTAAACTGTGTGAGTTGGTAAACGTTATACATGATAAAAGCAGCTCAAACGACGAAGACAGAGAAGAAACACACGACAGGAAGCTGCTGAACTCGCAACTGACGTTTTATTAGGGAAGAAGATATAAAGGAAACAACGTAGCCAAAACAGGCAACATCAACAACCACCTATTTATCTATCAAGCACCACAATTGCTTCAGAGCTGAAACACATCAAACAACGCTATTCATATTAGCTTGCAAAAAGCAAACTTCTTTATCTGACAGAACCACCGACGGAGCGCTGACGCGTACACTCTAAAAAAAAGCCCGTGCGTCTACTTTCCCGCAACCCACTCGGAGAGCCAATCATCGTGACTTATAGAGGCAGCTCAGCGAATGACCATTCCGAAACATCTGCTTAGACCAAAAAACGCTGTTTGAGTTGTGACATTAAGCAATGCAAGCGTGACGTTTTGCATTGCTAAATGTCACAACTCAGACTGCGTTTTTTACTCTAAACATATGTTTCGGCATCGTCATTCGCTGACCTTACTCCGTAAGTTGCGATGATTGGCTCTCCGAGTGTAGTGCGGAAAAGTAGGAGGCTTCGCAAAAGATCCTGCCGGACCTTTTATGGGAGCGAATTGAGCAGCGCCCAAGCGCACAGTGACGTTACCTAGCTTCCCTTCACGTTTCTTTTTTTCTTTCTTTTCTTTTAACACAACCCAGGATTATTTTGCCTTCGCGATGTCTGCAATCGGTCAGAGCAGAAGCTTCCGTAACGTCGCACGTTCCTAGTGATGCCTATTAAGAATAAAATCAAACTATTTTGTTAGCAAACTACAAACATTGAAGTATTTCAATGGAAAGGTAGCTCATTGACTATATATATAACCAAATAACACACTTTGAAGGCCGAACGCACCGTAAAGCTAAATGATCATAGGCAGTATCAGCCACATTTTTGATAAAAAAGCTCAGGTGTTAATTTTTATAACTACCAAGATCCTTGTGTATATATAAAAGGATACTGTTTCGGTTACAAACAATTAAGTCGTCCAAGATATAAAGAAGCGGTTTGGGCCTCTTATCTCGTTGGCGACCACGTCAAAAACTTGCTGACTTTCTGTCGCTCCGGCCTTGTGTATCGGCTTCCCAGCACTGGTGTCAAATAGCATCCACCGGTTCCTTCATATGTTTAGTTTTAATACGTGGAATAGACGGCAGGTATCTACGTAACACATGTTTGCAGTGCGTCACGCTGCCTTGGCGTCAATACGTGTGGGTTTAAGAGAAAACACCCTTCCCCCTTTCCCCCCAAACGATAATAGACTGCAACATTGACCTGGTTACACATTTCTTAAGCAATATAATGCTACATGTCCTTGCAGATTTGAAATTACCGGTTTTGAAGTATCCACCAAATAACGTTCACAAAAAATTGAAGATGATGTTGTTTTTTTTTTATTGAAGCACGAAATTAACGTAATGTTCTTCAAAAATTTCGGCCGAGATTAAAAATATAACTACAGTATAGCAAAACGCTATATCTTTTTTAAATGTACTAAGAAGGGTATACTCATGACAAGAAATTTCAGGTTGAAGGTTTCATTTAAAAGTGTCCCAAAAAATCACCGAAAAATGCCTTATTACGAAAAAGTTGCTCAGAAAGCCAAGTTTGCATTTTACAGTGAACCTGTCAAGGCCCAGGTTCCCCGGGATCGAGTCTGGTACCAAACAAATGTCAACAACCGCGGTCGAGACAATTAACACTCTGGTTGCCGCCGTCGCTCATAGATGGTGGTAGCTGTCCTGAGTGTTGTGTTTGCCAATTGTCTGCTTGCCGCCGTCGCTCATAGATGGTGGTAGCTGTCCTGAGTGTTGTGTTTGCCAATTGTCTGCTTGCCGCCGTCGCTCATAGATGGTGGTAGCTGTCCTGAGTGTTGTGTTTGCCGGTTGTCTGCTTGCCGCCGTCGCTTATAGATAGTGGTAGCTGTCCTGAGTGTTGTGTTTGCCGGTTGTCTGCTTGCCGCCGTCGCTCATAGATGGTGGTAGCTGTCCTGAGTGTTGTGTTTGCCGGTTGTCTGCTTGCCGCCGTCGCTCATAGATCGCGTCAACCTTTCCAGCCTCGGCAACCAGACAACTGGTTGCTGCCGTCGCTCATAGATGGCGGCAACTTTCTTCGGGGGAAGAAGAGCGGGAACGGCACGAGCGGCGATGTGCGCAGCAGCGCGAATGGTTCCGCATCCGCCGCCAGGCCGCTATCGCCTAAAGTTCCACTCCGTCGAGCGCTTCAGATTCCCTTGCGAAAGAAGAGCAGATCGCTCGCCTGGAAAGCCACCGCCGAGACCAGAGCTACAGGTCCGCTGCTCTTCCTTCTTCACCAGAGTGGAAAGGCTGAAAGTTTTTTTGGTTATTATTTCCTTTTAATTATATCATCAAATAAACTTGATTACTTCTTGTAATAAAGTTTGTGTGCGTTCGGCATAAGAAATTTAACAACATAGACAATTGTATTTTTTATTCAAGGTGCCTTCGAATTTGCGTCAACGCACGAATGGGAAAGTTCTGTTTTCAACATCACCTTAGGTGCGTTTTCTCACGAACACATAAAAGTTTCTTGCAAAAGTACGGTTTTTACCGTTCTGTGGACACACTTCTTTACCTCACAAAAACATTTCTTTGAAAATAAAGATAAGTGTGACACCACTATGACCGTATCTATCTGAAGAAACCCGGTAGCACAAGTACCTCGTTCAAATTTGTTTTAATACTTTTCTCGCAGACCAGGTGACACTAGTGTATTTGGGAGAGAAATGTAGCATTGTAGATTAATAATGAAACATTTCTTGAAAAGAGAGAGCAATGGCGATATAATATGTAACGACGCCCGATAGCTTTCCTAAATACAATTTAGATGCTGATTGCAAGTCATTCTTTCCATGAAAATTACCCCGAGGGTTTTAAAACTATAGCTAATACCTCAATTTAGGTCGAATCTGAGCGGGTAAAAAAGTATCCGATCTTCGATGTTATAGAACTCTCATGTCTTTGGGTTATAGAATTATGTGATAAAACTCTGAATTCTTTGGACTCTAAAATGATGTTATAGAACTCTCACATCTTTGAGGCAATGGCACGTTCATTTTCGAACAGCGTGGTTAGCGTCATGCCATTCTATCTTTGCATGCCAGGTTTGGGCCAGCTTATTTTTGGCTACACAAACAAAAGTGGGCAGGGTGTTGCTACAAGAAGCAGCCCAATGCGACGCGATGCAGGCTTACTACACGAAGCATACATCTTCTAGCGACTCAGGACTTACGTTAGCCAAGCGGGGGGAAACATATTGCCAAACATTTCTTTCTGCATAAAGAAACAAAAAAAAATTTGCCCAAGCTGTTTTTCTGCCTCATTCGTTTACCATTAGTGCAGTGCGTATATAGAGAAATCTCGAGAGTCGCGTAACAATAATGACCACCTCGCAACATGCCAAAGGCCCGATTAGTCTGCCGCCTGGAATGCCTGTTGGGCTTTTCCTTTTCACTACGAAAGAAGATGTGTTCGAAGGTGCAGTTATTTAGGCAAGCCATGCCACGATAATGGGTGTCGACGCGACGAGCTCTCTTAGCTCGCACTGCGCAAAGCCCACGAAATGTTTGCGCCAACCTTAACCCGTAAAAATAAAGTCTAGCGTCCACGAGCATTGCAAAGCATCCAGCGCATAGATATGTGAGCAAGTACTATCTAAGGCCAATAGGTGGGCCGAATTGGTCCAAGTAAGAGTTCGGTAAGAATTGGCATTTTTCCAACTTCCCGACAAAACTCGGCAAACATCCGGCAAAGAAGCAGCAGCCGTCCACATGCCCGAACCAGACTTGCACGGTATTCATCACGAACAATCAAATTACTGGTGATCAATTACTTTTTGGTAAGTCTGTAATCATTTGTGTTTCTACACAAATGTCTTCATGGTTTTATTGATTGTCCGGAGTAACCTCTTCAGTGTTTATTGCCGTGCCAAGCAGGACACTTCGCTCTCATCGTGTATTCGGCTGCTCTGAGCCAAAGAGCATGCGGCCCCTAGAGCGTATTCAGTACACTTTTAACATATGGAACGCAGTAAACACGCCGAAGGCAGATATTTTTGAGCCAAAAAAT